CTTCCAGTGAAGAAGCAAGGCAAAGCCTCGGATGAGACCCCCCTTATGACGACGGACACGGCAAACGTTTAAAGGACTACGATTTGAGGGCATGCACCTGGAATGTCCAGACCCTTAATGGGGAAGGTGCCTCTGCCCGGCTGGTTGATGTCCTCGTAAGGACAAAAGCTGACATCACCGCCATCCAAGAAATGCGTTGGACGGGGCAAGGCAAACAATGTCTGGGGCCTTGCGACGTCTACTACAGCTGCCATGTAAAGGAGCGCAAATTCGGTGTTGGATTTGTGGTGGGAGAGAGACTCCGTCGCCGAGTACTGTCGTTCACCCCGGTGGACGAGCGTCTAGCCACAATCCGCATCAAAGCGAGATTCTTCAACATCTCGCTCATCTGCGCCCATTCCCCGACGGAAAAGATGGATGAGGCATCCAAGGATCTCTTCTATGAGTGCTTGGAGCGCACGTGCTTGGCGACTTCAATGTCAGGGTGGGCAAGGAAGGTATCTTTGGAACCACCGTCGGAAAATTAAGCTTCCACGACGAAACGTCCGACAACGGATTGAGGCTGATCGACTTCGCCGGGGCCCGAAACATGGTAGTATGCAGTACTAGGTTCAAGCATAAAAAGATCCATCAAGCTACCTGGCTGTCTCCGGATCGAAAAACGAGAAACCAAATCGATCATGTTGTGATAGACGGAAGGCACGCTTCCAGTGTTTTAGACGTACGCACACTCCGAGGCCCAAACATCGACTTGGACCACTATCTTGTTGCAGCCAAGATACGCACCCGCCTCTGTGCAGCAAAAAATGTGCGCCCAAATATGCAAGGAAAGCTTAACGTCGAAAAGCTGCAATCACAACAGACAGCCAGCGCTTTCGCTACTCGACTCTCACACCTGCTCTCAGAGAGCACTCTTCAACAAACCGACATATGCGAGCAGTGGAACCACATTTCCCGCTCATTAAGTACCGCCGCCGAAGAAGTAGTCGGATTTCAGCGAGCCCGAAAGAACAACTGGTACGATGAGGAGTGTCAGGAAGCTGCAGAGAAAAAAGATGCCGCCTACAGGGCCACGCTGCGATCGGGCGCAACGCGCGCTATGTGGGACCGCTATAGGGATCTGAAGAGGGAAGCGAGACGTATTTGCCGCAACAAGAAGAGAGAGGCAGAAATACGTGAGTGCGAAGAGCTTGAAATGCTGGCCGACAGGAGGAATGCCCGAAAATTTTACCAGAGAGTTAGGCGACTTACGGAAGGTTTAAAGACCGGGGCGCACTCCTGTAAGAACAATAATGGCGACCTAGTAACTGATGTCCAGAGCGTACTTAAATTATGGAGGGAACACTTTTCCGCCCTACTAAATGGTAGCAGCACAGAAAGTTGTGGAGAAGAAGAACCCGAGCCCGCAGTCGATGATGACGGAGTCGACGTTCCACCGCCTGACTATGACGAGGTACGTATAGCAATAACGCGGCTGAAAAACAACAAAGCCGCTGGAGCTGACAGCCTGCCAGCTGAGCTATTCAAGTACGGCGGCGAGGAGTTGATAAGGTGCATGCATCAACTCTTGTGCAGAATATGGTCAGATGAACGCATGCCCGACGACTGGAATTTAAGTGTGCTCTACCCAATCCACAAGAAAGGTGACCCCGCCATTCGCGCCAACTACCGCGGGATCAGCCTTCTAAGCATAGGTTACAAGGTCTTATCGAGCGTATTGTGTGAAAGACTGAAGCCCACCGTCAATGAACTGATTGGGCCTTATCAGTGTGGCTTTAGACCTGGCAAATCCACCATAGACCAGGTATTCACAATACGCCAAATCTTGGAAAAGACCCGCGAGAAAAGGATCGACACTCACCACCTATTTGTCGACTTTAAAGCCGCTTTTGACAGCACTAAAAGGAGTTGCCTATACGCCGCTATGTCTGAATTTGGCATCCCCTCAAAATTATTTGTCGACTTCAAAATGACGTTGAGCAATACCACCAGCTCCGTCAGGATTGGGAAATACCTCTCCGAGCCGTTCGCCACCAAACGGCGTTTCAGACAGGGCGACTCCCTTTCATGTGACTTCTTTAATCTGGCGTTGGAGAAGATAATAAGAGCTGCAGAACTGAACCGCTCAGGAAGAATACAAGAGCGTGCAATTGCTGGCTTATGCCGATGACATCGACATCACGGTAACAAAAACCGCGAAGGCTGGTCTGCCTTTTCCAATGGGCTGGCGGTAAACAAACAGTCAGCACATTCGCGCCTTGGCACCCACGTCACTGTTGACAGTTACAATTTCGAGAAAGTAGAGAATTTCGTTTACTTGGGAACCAGCATTAACACCGATAATAATGTCAGCATTGAAATCCAACGCAGAATCACTATTGCCAACAAATGCTACTTTGGACTGAGTAGGCAATTCAGGAGTAAAGTCCTCTCTCGACGTACGAAAACCACGCTCTATATGGCGCAGAAGCATGGACAATGACAACATCCGATGAGGCGGCTCTTGGAGTGTTCGATAGAAAGATTTTGCGGAATATTTACGGCCTTTACGCGCTGGCGACGGCGAGTACCGCAGACGATGAAACGATGAGCTGTATGAGCTTTACAACGACATGGGCATAATGCAGCGAATTAAAATACAGCGGCTCCGCCGGCTTTGCCATGTCGTTCGAATGGACACCGACGCTTCAGCTCTGAAAGTATTCAACTCGGAACCCGCTGGTGGTAGCAGAGTAAGAGGGATGCCCCCACTGTGATGGAAAGATCAGGTGGAGGAGGACTTGGCTTCACTTGGCGTTTCCAATTGGCGTCAGTTGGCACAGAAAAGAAACGACTGGTGTGCTCTTCTGAACTCGGCCAAAATCGCTTAGGCGGTTACAGCGCCAAAAAAAATTCGGTTTGTCTGGGAGGTGCCTCACCCCCTTTCCCAATAACCACAATTTTTCTCCATGAGTATGCGACTGTTTTCATATATCTCCATACCATGATCGAGTACTATACCATGAACAGTTCCAGAGATATGCCATATGAAAGATGCGGTTTTTTGGGAGGTGCCACACCCCCTGCACCTACCGGTATGAAATATACTTTAAATCCGATTCTCATACCTACCATATATACACAAAAAATTTCATAAAGGTCGGTCGAGCCGTTTAGGAGGAGTCCGACCACGAACATCGTGACACGAGATTTTTATATAAATACGTATTAGATTTACAGAAAATAAAAAATTATTTTCCATTTAAATTTCTGGTGAAACCGGCTGTTATCAATTTTCTTAGCGTTAACTTCGAAGTTACATACGTTTTTCTGATTGACTTTGTTTATCTATGAGGTTTTCATGCAAATTGCTAGAAATTCTAAAATATACATGTCACCAATAAAAAAAATCTCGACGTGCTGGAAAAAACCAAAGATGTATTTTTATTTCGCAGGCCTCTATTATCTTCGCAGCGTCATTCAATACGGGTTTTAAATCCAGTGGCGGCATCTTCCTAGTCGCCGGGTATACCGACGGATAATACAGTGACGTGGCGTTTTCTGCCTCTTGCTTCATCCTAGACATCGCTCCTTTCGTTTTTCCAACCACTGCAACTATCCACATACTTGCTCCGTTTCATACTATTTTTCTGTACAAATTTGACGATAGCTTAAGAAATTTCGTCGCTAGTTGTGTAAGCAGTGATCGGAATTCTACCACATTGTGGTAGATCTGCCACTTTTTTGAGCACCTACCACATCTACCACACAAGGTCTGAAATCTACCACATATTAGCGTTTTTGAGTAGTTTTATTTTTGGTCGACATAATTTTTTAATTTTAAGAGCAAAAATTGTCCAACACTAAACACTAACAACAGGCAGAATGGGAGGATAAAATAAACCGCAAAATAGAAAATTTTCCCAATATTCAATTTTTCGACAGGAAACGTGGTTTTATTGTGTTCAATTGCAAAATATATGCTTTATAAAAAGAATGAATAGCGAAAATGATAAAAACCGGCGATTTTTGTGAAAGGATTAGCAAATTTCAGTGCATCTCAAATTTCTAAAGCGTTGTTTACTTTTACTTTTTTTGTCAAAATCGGCAAATCACAAGTAGCGGTTTCTGGAACGAGCCACATTTGTTCGCTACATCGTGATGTGATAAAAAGAAAAGCTGGTAGCACTCCGCAAGGTTGCAGAAATTTTTCAAAATACATATGTTCGAAAAATATCTTGAGATGGAAGGAACTGCTTTACACTGTCAAGGAAAAAAATTGCCAAAACTCAATGCAATTTTTAGCAACTTCAATCTTGCACTTTATTACACTAAAATTATTTTTTTTTTTAGATTATAATTAAAATATTTGCAATTTAGGTGCAACCTTGCAGAATTTTTTTAATTTTTGTACAAAGTTCCATCCAAAACCTGAGATCTACCACATTATTTTGAAATCTACCAATTTCTTTTCCAGATTTTACCACACAAATTTTTTTTTAAGTCCGATCACTGTGTGTAAGTCTCAAGTACTTCGCTCATCAAAAGTTCGTCTTCGATTTGCATTGCGAATGGGTACCTCACCAACACTGGAAGAAAATTAAGTCCCACTACGTCGGTGCTTTGGTCAAGTTGAAAACTAAAAAATTCACAAGTTTTCAAACTTTTTATAAGTTCGACTGCCTCTAAAATCGTGTGGGTTCGCTCTTTCACAGTGTGATTGTGAAGTTCGAAAGAATAAGTAACATATACCCACCCACTTTGGGAAAGCCTGCATTTCGGTATTTTCGAAGTGTTGCATAGCCCGTGCACGGTGCACTAATTGCACGGGTTGCATTGTAAAAACCGGTTTCCTATGGCACAGCTTTGTAAACCGTCCAGCCGTGCACCGTGAAGTAACCACTTCTAATAGATTTTGGGCCACTGCATTTGTAAAAATGGAATCATATACATATCTGAATTTTAAGAAAATAAGCAAGTAGGAAAATCGGCTAAAAACAGCCAAATTTATTTTGCAAAATGGCTCACAAATCGGTTGCCGGCTAAACCGAATTTTCTACGGCTGTTTACTATCGCAACCGGCTAAATCTAGCCGGAAAACGGCTAAAATTGCAACACTGATTGTGTTATCGAACAAAACTACTTACTGTTATTATTTTTACATACCCAAAGCATTGCATCTCTTTACAACTGCATTTTTACGAAGGCGGGACACCATTAAGAGGAACGATATTTTCGATGTAGTAGCTGTTGCCAAAACGACAATAAATACAAAGATGTATGTCAAAAATTTAAAGATTTTCAAAAAGCAGCCCAACTTCGCCCAACTCGCTGCCGATCCTGTTGCTCTCCTTGATGGCGGGTCTTGGAAAGTGTCCCATAGAGGAGGCTTGTCTTTAGACTTACTATATTACAAATAATTTATTAAGTCACTTAAAATTACTATTTTTAATTTAGTTTTGTTCCTACCGAGATTTAAGAAAACTATCATCATTTGATTCCACGTTATGGCCATCCATATTGGCAAACAAACTCGTTTTAATCCCTTTTGCTTATGTATACATATCTACATATATCAAGTATAATTTATTGCTGCTTGTGAATCGTCTTTCATCTTCAACATGCAATCAAAGACTACTTTTGTATTGGCACATCATCATTTTAAGCAGATACATATGTACATATGATACCAAACAAGCATCACAACAGAACAATTTATTGATAAGGAATCAGTATTTGCAAACATAATAAACGATAAGACCAATGAATATGATGAGTAGGGCTCGGAACCTCATGCACTAAAAAATCGAAAATTTGCGCGTATGGAAAATCTAAATAACAGGTACACTTTCAAAAGAAAAAATTGATTTTTTTAATTTGTGGGCACACCTATGTTTTATATATGATTCTATTAGTAATCTTTTAATAAATGGATAAATTTAAATTTAATTCATTTTAATCAAGGGCTTCAAAAGTTAGACGAGTAATTAACATTTAGATTGCTGAAATTGAAAACAAAAGAAAAAATTTTTTTTTTGAAAATTTGATTAAATTTTAACAATTTTATAAATAACTCCCTCAGTTTTGAAGTTATTTTATTAAAATTTTGCACATAACGGGTTTTTAATGTTACCTTAATTATTCTTTAAAATTATCGAAATAGTTTCACTTTAACATATAGCTCCAATACAACTGATTACTCATGTTAGAAATATCAATTTAATAATATTTACTACTTTGTAATATTTACACTTTAACTTATAATTCTTATTGGCAGTTGATTAGATCGAGTTGTTTCAGTCTAATATAACAGAAAATATTTTTTCATTCTGTAAGAAATTCTTATACAATAAAGACCTTTTATAAATTCTTATAAGTTGCGGATTTTATTGCTTGAACACATTTGCAATAGGTTATGGGCCGTTGCACGATGGAGTTTTTAAAAGGATCTTTTACAAAGCTGAACGCAGACAACTACCATTTGTGGAAATTTAAATTGGAGTTGATATTGCGAAAAGAAGGAAGATGGAAATGTATTGTATAGAGGATGTATTGTATAGAGGATGTATTGTATAGAGGACAGTCAGCTAATGTTAATCAAGAAGGCGAAAACGGCACGCAAGGCTTGGGATATCTTACGGAGTCAGCATGAAAAGGACACGCTTAGGAGTTGCGTAAGAATAATGTGGAAGATTTGTGGCATGAGATTCTCAGCGGATATGAACATCAATGAACATATCATGGAGATGAAAATCTTGTTTAAGAAGCTGGAGGCATTGGGAGAAACTTTTTCGGAACGCTGGTTGGTGGCTATGTTGTTAAGCAGCTTACCATCCTCGTTTAATACCCTGGTGATTGCTTTGGAGGCTCGAAAAATGGAAGAACTCACATAAAAGTTGTCGAGACAAGTATACTGGAAGAATGTTTGCGCCAAGGTGGATGTGGTGCTGCTAAGGAAGATTCAGTGATGAAAATAACTAAGATGGATGAGAAGTTCGAAAAACGGTGTCATTTTTGTAAGGTCAAGGGACACATTAAAAAGGATTACTGGAAATTCAAAAAGTCAAAGAGCAGCAACAGTGTGAATGAAGTTCGGAGCGACAGTCTGAATAATTATTGTTTCTCTTCAGCGAGTCATCGAAATTCGTGGGTCATTGATTCTGGAGCTACGTGTCACATCAGTTCAAAGCAGGCTTATTTCAAAACGCTGGACAGGTCGGTGCATGAGAAGGTAATAGTAGCGAATGGTCAGAAAGTTTTCGCAAGTGGAAAAGGCTCGTGTGAAATCACATTGCGTAACAGTTACGGGGAAAAGAATTTGGTTAAAATGGATGGAGGGTTATTCATACCTGGCTTTCACGGAAATCTGGTATCCGTTCATAAATTTTTGGCAAAAGGCTTTCAAGTAGTATTCAACAAGTCGTCATGCAGCATTCAAACTCAGGAAGGAAAGGAAATTGGAGTTGCTGATCTTCAAGATGGTCTATTCCGATTAAAGCATCACGTTGAAAAAGTTTTAGCCGTCTCACAATGTAGGCTGCAGGGTTGTGAACACTACTGGCACAAAGTATTTGGCCATCGAGATATTAACGCGGTGAAATTCATGCAGAAAGAAGGTATGGTAAGCGATCTTAAATTAGTCAATTGCGGGGTAGAGAAAAATTGCCATGTTTGTCTTGAAAATAAAATGGTCAGAAAGCCATTTCCAGATTCGCATATTAAGTTCAATTCTGTAATGGACTTGGTACATACAGATGTCTGCGGACCAATGGAAACAGTCACGCCAGGGAAAAAGCGATATTTTTGACCTTTATTGACGATTATAGTCGATACACTGTAATTTATCTCCTTCAAAATAAGTCAGAGGTTTTTGATACATTAAAAATATATATGGAATTAGTAATGAATAAATTCTCGAGGTATCCAAAGGTTATCAGATCAGATAATGGAGGGGAATTTCGCTCAAAGGTTGTAGAGAATTTTTGGATTTAAAAGGTATCCAGCGTCAGTATACAGTACCTTACTCTCCACAACAGAATGGTGTTGCTGAAAGGAAAAATAGAACATTGGTTGAAATGGCGAAGTGTATGTTAACTGAAGCAAAGCTAGCAAACTTATTTTGGGGTGAAGCAGTTAACACAGCGAATTATTTGCAAAACCGTTTGGTAACAAGTGCTACTAAATGCACACCTTATGAGAGATGGGAAGGTGAAATTCCTAGTATAAAACATTTGAAAGTCTTTGGCTCAAGGGCATAAGTTTAAATCCCGAAAGAAAAACGGAAGAAATGGGACCGTAGATCTGATTTACTTACATTTGTAGCATGATACAATAATTTTTAGAAGGTAGTTTCACTTCAAAATTTTTGACATAAACCGTGTCTGTGACAAACACGCAATGTGGCCACTGCTACGATATAGAACTTGGGGATTTCCGCTTGTAATTTTAGATATTTTTTAACAAAACATGTAAAGATTTATATGTTTCATAACTGATCACTTAATTTTAAATATAAATATACGTATTTAATACATACATTTTTGCCACTGTTAATCACGGTTGGCTTTCCTTTATGGCCGTTCATTAAAGGGGCGGTGGGCGAATGGTAAGTGGGAGTGGCACCTCAAACCCACCTTTTTGGAGAGGGAATGAACCGCCATTGACAAAAATGCAACCCCCGACCACTTAGGTCCCCTATGGTTCCCTAGGGACCCCTTAGAAAAATTGCCAAAAAGCACAATTTTCATTTGCGTTTATTCGCTTGAAATATGTTAAATATTCATTTGCACAATACATTTTTATATACACATTTTTATATACACATTTTTATATACACATTTTTATATACAAGACATTTTTATAAAACACCCAGTAACCAAAATAGACATCACTGGGCGGCAGCCCCAGGTTTACCACACAGAAAGGGAATTCTAGTTACCTCATCCTTTCCCAAGGTTACATCAGGGTTATAATCCCTAAGCGCGGCCGAAGGCCGCCTACGCAGAAAGGAACTCTACACAAAAATACTGTGGACGCAAGTAAAAATTGCGATTTTAGGCCATTTTTCTAAGGGGTCCGTAGGGAACCATAGGGGCCTAGGTGGTCGGGGGTTGCATTTTTGTCAATGGCGGTTCATGCCCTCTCCAAAAAGGTCGGTTGGAGATGCCACGCCCACTCCCCCTTCGCCCACCGCACCTTTAACGAACGGCCATAATGGAAAGTTTCCCCCATAAAAATGAAAATATAACGGCAATATTTCTTGTTTATAATGGATTAGATCCATCGCACACCACGGACTTTATCGGCCGCCGATTTAGATGGGCTCGCTAGTCTTTCCATTGCACCACAACTTATTGGTCGGAGCGATTAAGCTGATGTAGTGTGCGCACCTCCATACATCTTCATGTACATATTTCAAGCGAGCCCTATTATTTAAATAGGTGGCCGATAAACTCTGTGGTATGCGGTGGCTCTTATAGCTAGCTGCATCCTTACACCTATTCCGTGTGTTGCAATATCCACGAAAGCAGCGGTTAACTTTTTCTGAAGAAAAATATTTAAAAATATTCGAAAATTATTATTTATTTTTCCAACGTCAAAAGGTGGATTTTTTTTGAAAAATTTGGTACAACAAAAAATACGAAACACGTTTTCTGTCAGATAGCTAACATGGCGGATAAGAAGAAGAAGTGAAACTACCTTCTAAAAATTATTGTATCATGATTTGTAGGTTACGATGGGCATGCCAAGGGTTACAGATTGCTAGATGTAAACACAAAGAAAATAACTTTAAGCAGAGATGTCAAATTCATAGAGGAGGACGAATGCAAAAATTCTGATGAGTTGAAGAGTAATTTGAAAGAATGTCAAGAAGTCCCGTTGGTATTCTTAGTCCTAAAAATCGTGAAGTTGAAGAGTGTAGAAAGTATACAAATCCAACATCAAATGGTCAGTCAGAAGATGAAAACTCATTTCGAAGTTTGGATGGTGGAATAGGTTTTGGGAGTGATTTAGAGGATACAGTTGACATGAAGAATTTGCAAAATGTTAGTACGGAGGACAATAATAGAGAGAATGAACCTTTATATCAATTTGACAATATACCAATTGCACAAGAAATCGAAATTCCAATACGCAGGTCAACACGGCCGACGAAAGGCAAAGTTCCGCAGCGCTTAACTTACAAAGTTAGTGATGTTACTGAAGAACCTAAAACATATAAAGATGCTATGGAATCTTTACAGCGTGAAGAGTGGGTTAAAGCAATGAAGGAGGAATATTCGTCTCTAATATCATCGATTACATGGGAATTGGTAGTAACACCTCCGAAAGCAAATATAGTTAGCTGTAAATGGACATATAAAATTAAACGAGATGAAATTGGTAATATAAATCGTTACAAGGCTCGTCTTGTAGCAAGATGTTTTAGTCAAAAATACGGCACCTGTTGTACGACAGACAACATTTAGGATCTTATTGAGCATTGCTGGTATTAAAAAAATGTCTGTGGTCCACATTGACGTCAAATCAGCATTTTTACATGGTACTTTGGAGGAGAAAATTTTTATTCAGAAACCACAAGGATTTCAGGAAGGGAACGGCAATCTTATATGTAAACTTAATAAAAGTTTATATGGTCTTAAACAAGCGGCA